ATGTATCTATTATAGTACATCGTCATGCCTTGTATATATTTTTAAATATATTTTTAGTAATCTTCTTTGTTTTACTGTAAAAAAAAAAAGAATTTCAAAGATTAAAATTGCAAACTTTTATTTTACATCCATATAACAAAGCCTGTCCATTTGGTTATTGGCATAATTATCATATCGGTTTCTATTTAGTATTTTTTTAACCTTTCTCTTCTGATCAAATTTTCATGAAATATCAGGAAACGTCGGATTGGTAATGGCCACTTACGCAACAAAGCCCCCAAAAATCAATTATTTGTTGATAATAAAAAAATTGCTATTTTGGGTCGAAAATAAATCGTGTTACTTGCTGTTGTTAGCCATGGTGTCCCGCCTAAAATGTATTGTTCAGTTTTTGCCACATCAAACAAACGATTAGGGCATGTAGATTTGAAACTAAATTATTAACAACACCTATACTGAACAGGAAACGTCGCAAATCACAGAAAAGTGAATTGTTTATTCAAATTTCAATACCACATTTAGCACAAAGGATTGTTTGAGTACCTTTCAAGTTATTGCTATGACATATCAAGGTTCTGAGCACGTGATGTTTACAGGTGGAGGCTGAAAGTCAGTATCTGGTGTGTCCACACTGTGCGTTGATAACGGCCCGGCATCTTCTGTACATGGGGTGTCACAAACGATTTACAGACACCATTGGAATCTTAGGAAAGCTGCACCGAGTTTTTCTGCATTTCTTGGAAGAGGTTGGAACTGGTTTAGTCGTCTTTGGATGTCATCCCACAGGTGTTCTATTTGGTTTATGTCCGGGCTTGGTGAGGGCCATGGTATTACTCTGATGTTATGCTGTTGGAGGAAGGCTTTAGTGGCTATGGCATTGTGTGGGCGGGCGTTATCATGCTGGAAGGTGTGGTTTCGGCGTCTTGCAACATGCGGTGGCTTGTTCACGTTGTTGGGAGGTTAGACTTGCCATGAGCTCGCTGTCTTCACAACAACTCAGTAGGCGTCAGTTTTTTTTTCATACAGAACTCTGCACGTGCATTTCGATTTCCCTCCGCATTACTTTAACTTGCTCTCACGGACATCTAATAGTTTCCAAGGTTCACATCTCTGAAATCGAACGTCCAAAAATCATACTTATAAAGAAAAAATAACAATTTTGATCGTGCACAACTTTGTCCAAATAATGGTTTGCTTCATATGCTATATTTAGTAGTTAAACAGGAGCCTAGAAAATGGACTAACTACCCTTCTCAGCTTAAAACCACAATAATAAAGATGGCGGTAAATATTTCGTGCAACATAAAGGAACAAGATTAAAATATTTATACTTTTTACATTTTCATCTTTTTAATCCTAATTGAAGTCAGTGATTTAAGAGAATACAAAATGAGAGATTCATTCCAATGAATTTTAGAACAGCTTTATCACACTGAAATCTGCATAATATCCAAGCGTTTCATTTCATTAATTATCTCTGTTCCAATTAATTTAAAATCTTTTCCATGATTAAAACCCCGCCCTGCAACAATATATATTAAAGTTTCAAAGTGTCAAGTTTTTCCTTTACTTTTTAGAAAATATTCACGATGATGTCACATGAGTTTTAAAACGGTCAACCAACACGCTTCCACGTACAATTTGATTTAATGTCATCATTTAAGGTTCATCGGTGCGTTTTATTTACTTATACAACTTAAATAAATAATATTGAAAGTTTTAATAATTCATTCAGTTACTACATAAAAGTTATTTCGTATTTTGAACGGTGCTCATATTCTTTGACTCAACATGGGAGTTCTACATATTTACTTTTTTATTTGTGCTTTAGTAGCAGTTCGATTTATTTACTGTTCAAAATTGTTGATTGAGAGAAACATCCTTATCAATAAAACGTACAACGATGCCTATCTTGACTTCTGTAAACAATCATGTATTCAAAGAGATT